TGTGTATGTATGTATGTGAGTATGTATGTATGTATGTATGTATGTATGTATGTAAGTATGTATGTATGTATGTATGTATGTATGTATGTATGTGTATACGTACGTATGTATGTGTATGTGTATGTACCCATGTAATGGTGTGTGTATTTGGCATACATATGCACATGCATACATACATACATACATACATACATACATACTAAAGTATGTCGTGACAAGTTTGAGTTTGCAGTTGCATACGTGTCGGTGTCTGAATGTGTACATGTGTACATAACTATAACTATCTATCTGTACAGAATTTCAACTGTTCTACATGTCTACGCCTAAACCCTAAACCCTACACCCTAAACCCTAAACCCTAAACCCTAAACCCTAAACCCTAAACCCCCACAACAGTACCTTCAAGTCGAGACGAAGACTGGACAACCCCAAGCAAGGAAGACTAAGCAGGCGCAAGCCGTTTGAATTTACACGGCTTTCTGAGAAAAGGAGAGAAACTGGGGTTTAGGGTTTAGGGTTTATTTAGGGTTTAGGAGAGAACGACTGAAAGGAAGAGAAAGGGAGAGGTGGCAGAGTCGATAGCGTCGGGTCGTGCCGGACTTGGATAGGGTTTTTCATCTAGGCTTAGGATCAAAGGATTTCGCTCAAGATCTACTCGAGATTGTAGGTGCTCATCTTCCGTGTTCATTGTTATGAGCTACTTTCGATCTATGGTCTTCAGGGTCTTGGGGTTTAGGAACTAGGGTTAGTGTTGAGCAGAGCTCAAGTTGTGATGAGCCAGTCTTGCGCTGTTCCGGGCCGGTTCAAGCGTCTTGGCATGAACAGCCACAGTGAGGTATTGGACACTTTACCTGGATGGGGTAAGACAGTACAGCACAGATTCGGCATAGATTCTTAAGTTGTTTTTAGATAAACGACATCTTGAACCTATCAGCCGAAAACTCTAACCTTGTTCCACATTTCGGACAAAGCGCGAAACGTCCAGACACCCCAGCGACCTCAACCCCCCGAACTGCACCGTTGAATCCTACATCTATGTTTTAAACTCTGCACCCCCAAGCCTACACACCTAAACCCTAAACCCCGAAACGCAAAAAACCCTACACCCTAGCCCCTATACCCTAAATCCCGAAAACTTTAAAAAAAGACTCAAGCTTAAACCTTAAACCCGAAACCCTACACCCGAAGATATAAACCCAAACCATTACCCACCAAGGCTCCGAATCGGGCCTTTCAGCTGCCTTGACACCTGCGCAGTGAGCCCAGTACCCCTTACATGAGGAACATAATGTAGGGGCCTTAATAGTTAGAAAATGGTTTTGGGGGTTACCTTCTTATAACTATAATACAATATACCCCCCTAATTAATAAGGCCCCTATACTACCTTGAATCGCAATATAATCCCCCGGTTCTGGTTTAGGGCTTACCTTGACTCATAAAAAGACGCTCCCCGTAGTATTCCAAGGTATATTCGTTATAAAAAGATCCTTCCTAAACCCTAAACCCTAAACCCTAAACCCTAAACCCTGAACCTATCGCACCCTACACAGCCCGTCTGGGTTGGGACTCCTGGAGATCTTCGAAGCCCTCTACAGGGTTTAGGCCCTACAAAAACCTGCCCTTTTTAGGGATCCTTATTCTGATTTCCTTATATAAGTCCTTATAAAGGTTTAAGGTTTTGGGATTAGGGTTTAGGGTCAAAACGATTTCCTTGAATAAGTAACATAGTATAAGATAAGATACAATGTAAGATAATATAAGATAATTTCTGTCCTTAAAAAGGTAGTAGTTATTTGGGGTTAAGCTAGGGCCTAAGGCTTAGGCTTCAGAGTCTAAGCTTTAGCTTTAGGCGTTATCGCTCCAGGGGTAGGGGGTTTTAGAGCTTCATGATTTAGGGATCAGGGTTCACGCTTCGAGTGGGCAGCTGTTGGTGTCAGGGTAGGAGCCTGAAATAAACCCAAACCCTGAACCCGAACCTCTCCCCAAACTCTAAACCCGAATTCTATAGCTCTCCCTAAACCCTAAACCCCGAACCCTAAACCCCGAAACCTAAACCCACCGAAACCCTAACCCCTGCCTAAACCTCCCACACCCGAAACCCGAATCCGAACCTCGATTTCAGAAGCCCGGAATCCCGCGCAAGCCCGAAGCACAACTTGGCCAAAGAGCCTTTTGAACCCAAGAAACACCCAAAAAAAAAACAAAATCCCAAACCCTAAATAGACCCTGAACCCCAAAACCCTCAACCCCCAAATCCGAAATCCTAAACTCAAAAATCCTAGATCCCTATGAACCCCAAAATCCTAGGTTCTGTACAGGCCCCTAGAAAGGTTCATGAGGGGCCCATGACTTTTTCTGGGGTTCCTTTAGTTCTGGGCTCGACGAAGGTTAAGGTTCGGTTTAGGGTTTAGGGTTTAGGGTTTAGGGTTTAGGGTTTAGGGTTTAGAGTTTAGGGTTTAGGGCTTAGGGTTTAGGGTTGAGGGGGTTTAGGGTCTAGGGTGTAAACCCCAAAAGGTTGGAAACCGCGGATTAAGGACAACAAGTGCTGAGATTCCCTAGACATTACTCTTCCCTAAACCCTAAACCCTAAACCCAGAACCCTAAACCCCAAACCCCTAAGCCCAAAGTGCTTAGCTCTCAATCCCAGGTCCCAACACCTGAGAATCCATGAGTCGAAATCCAAGCGGCCAGGGTTTGGGGTTCAGGGTTTAGGGTTTAGGGTGTACGGGTTTAGGGTTTAGGGTTTAGGGTTGAGGGTTTAGGGTTGAGGGTTCAAGCAAAATCCACAACACCCCAGATGCTCCAAGATAAGATAAGTCGACAATTAGGCTAGGGCTTGGGGCATGAAAGTATATCCATTTTGAGGAACTTTAGGGATATGTAGCCGTGGTTATTAAGCCTCCTACCCTAAACCCTAAGCCCTAAACCTGAACCCTAAACCCTATAAATACCCTGAAACCTAGACCCTAAGCCCAAACCTGAGCCCCCATTAACCCCAAATCATCCAACGACGTGGCGTGTTTTTAGGCCCGTAAAACACCCTACAGCGAACCCCAGAAAGTTGGAACATGGGCTTGGGAGGATTGGTGCCAGGATGCCCTAAACTTTACCTCAAGGGCATGAGGATATTAATGTTCCAACTTTCTGGCTTCTACTATATGGGCAGTTCTCTAAACTAGGGTCCCTGTCTAGGTCCCCAACATAGTACGGCACCCTTATAAAAAAAAAAGACCCTAAGAGGAACCCTAGTTAAGAGAACTACCCATAAGGTATAGAGAGCCCTTACAGTAACCATATGGGGGTTTCCGAAAATAGGGGACCCTAATATAGTACCCTAAATAGTAGGATCCTTATTATAAGGACCCCAAAACAGGTACCCCTAATTTTCGGAAACTCCCATATAGAACCCTTATAGAAAGCCCTTATAGATCCCTTGAAGGAACCTTAAACGGGACCCTAACTTAGAGAACTACCCATATGAACACCCTATCAGGGCAGCACCGCAAGCTCCCCACAGAATTCCACCTTAAGGCCTAGGGTTTAGGGTTTAGGGTTTAGGGAGGCCTTCCTTCAGCCACCCCCGAAGCCGTAAACTCTAAACCCCTGAACCCTCAACCCTTTAAGATCCCTTATCGAACCCCTTTAACTTTAGATTCTTTAGATCTCTGTAGGGGAACCCAAACATCTAAAGCTTCGACAGAGCCTGAAGAACTGTTCCGCAAGGTTTGTTTTTGGACCTTGCACTATAATATGCACGCCGCCCCGTATTCCTAAACCCTAAACCCTGAACCCTAAACCCTAAACCTTAACCCCTAACCCCTAAACCCTAAACCCTAAACTCCAAAACCCGAAAGCCACTGCCTCGCCTCGGCGCATCTTTGGCGCTCACCCGACGCATTCTCGGCCGGCGCCGGTGGGGGCGCCTTTGCCGAGCGGTCGAAGCCTGAGAGCTCCTGCAAGGCCTGGCATTTTTTTTTGTGAAGGGGGGGGGCGGTATTTTTATTTCGGATCCCTAAACCCTAGACCCTGTTTAGGGTTTAGGGTTTAGGGTTTAGGGTTTAAGTTTTAGGGTTTAGGGTTTAGGGTTTAATTCACTTCCCTGAACCCTGGCATGCAAGGACGCCTGTGACTCTGCGAGCACCTGCTGCAGATGGCTGACCTGCAATGCGACGAAGGCAGGGCTTGCTTGGAGGGTCGGGGACTTGTAGTAAGTGAGTAATAAGTAGATTTATAAGTAACCTTAAACCCTAAACCCTAAACCCTAAACCCTAATAGGGATCCTAATTGCGGTTATGATATTTATAACTCTACAAGATAGCTACCACGAAGTCCCCCCGACTCTTCAAGTAGGGACCTGTCCCGGATTGGTTAGTTCATGGTTTAGTGCCTCGTATGTGCGGGCTACGGTTTGGGTAGAGGGTTTCTGATGTTAGCTTTGGTGAAAAGGGCTTAGTATACTTGGAGGTTCACAGGTAGTTATAAGTAGTGTTATAAGTCCCCTAATATGGGTTATTCCCCAAACAGTGCTTGCACTATGGGGTTCTTGCGTTGAGGGTAAAGGAATTGGATGCGAGCCGCAACGGCGCACGCGGTGGTGGGGCGGAACCTCCGTTTCGACGCTCTCACCCTCTTATGGCCTCTGCACGCGGTGGAGCACCTCCGTTTCGACGCTCTCCTCTAACCCTCTTCTGGCCTCTTTGGGGAAGGCCCACTTAGGTTGCGGGCCGCCGGCCCACTTAGGCGCACGCGGTGGGGTGCGCCTAGAACCCTAAAGCACTATCATGTCCACTGTATCCTACTTCTGCTGCCGGGGCCTGTTCCCTTCAGAACCACCCTGACTCTAAACCATAAACCCTAAAAACTAAACCCCCTAACCTGAAAGTCTACCCAAACCCGAAATCAACCCTAAACCCTAAACCCTAAACCTTAGCAAAAAACAACACAACGCCCGAAGAAGCATACCGACCTGCTCCGCTTTTGCAGCCAGCTCGACTTGGTGCACTGCCAGCTCCTCTCCGCGGGTTTGGTCTGATTCTAGGACATTTTCAGGTGGGCAGTTACCGTTATAGGATCCTTGTAGAAGGTCTATATACCTTATGGAAGCCTTATTCAAGCCCTATATTCCCTAAACTCCCCACCTGTAGTTTCCTTTAACTGATAGGGCTCTAGCAAGGTCAAAGAAGCCTCGGCGAATCCTTCATAAGGGAGCCTTAACGGAAGGGACTGGAGTCGCTGCATCGGGCGTGATGTTTATCGGTTTTTGCGCGTTTAGGAGTACGAAACCCTAAACCCCAAACCGGGTGTGTCTGCGGATTTGGGCCGGCGTGTAGTGCTCTCCTGTTTGATGTGAAAAGCTGCGGTGCATTCCGTGCACCCTAAAAACTAAACCCTAAACCCAAAACACGAAA